TGAACTGCATTGTTGGTTAAGGGCTTGTAAGTAAGCATTTCACGGTAAGGTCTACACCTGTTGTATTCGGCGCATGTGACAAATAAAATTTGATTTGATGTGAAAAGAGCAGGGTTTTTTGCTCATAATATGATCATCAATCTATTGGACAATAGCTTGTTTGGAAGAATGGGTGTTTACATTATCGCTCAGTAAATAGATTTTCTTTGTAAAAAAAAATCAGCAAAATGATTGGCAATATCAGCTGATTTTGTTATTGTTCTCCCGTCAACCTCCACACTAGATGGGCATGATGAGATAGATTTACCAAGTAAGCCCTTAACTGTATTCCATACCATTTTTGAATCATTTTTACAATCAATAAAAGCATTGTTGTAAAAATAAAGTTATTACGATTTAATTTAACTGCATAATTACATAGTGTTCTATAATTATGTTAATCAATTTCTAGTTTAGATTTGGCTGCTAAGACTTTTGCCATATTTCTTTGAGAAAATGCCTCACCCAGTTCATCATCAGTCCATGGAGATGGACGATCCCCAACTGTACTCTTTCTTACTGGGGCATGATGGTCCATTACCCCAGTGAGCAAATAAGACATTCTGTAGCTTGATTTAAATCATCCTCTAGATAAATCAGCTCCCAGGGTACAGCAGCCAAATCATTTTGAAATTGCTTATGATTAAATGTTTTATCTTGACCTTAATGTTCTCCACTGTGTCCTTTAGGCCCTCTTCAAGCAACCCTTAGCCTACAAGTGTTGAGCCCATAGAATTACAATTTACTCTGTAATTACATATTATTAATGCTGTAATTAATTAGAATTAACTGGTAATTCCACGGTTGAACCAGTGGTTCGGATTACATCTTTTTCAATGTGGCTTTTAGATAGGTCTGGTGAACTGGCAGTATTCACTGCAAGTTTAGACAACTCTGCTGATTTTCTTTTCCATAGACCTCGACTCCAAAGATGCTTTGACAGAAGATGCAGGGGCTGAATCGAAAAGACCAGGCTTCTCAGGTAATAGGGAGACCAAATACTTGAGTCAATATCAGTACATTACTTTGCCCTCCTATACTTTGAGCAATCCTTAGTGGAGTACCTATGGAGTCCTGGTTAGGATTTGTTTTTCCTCTTGCTTGTTCACTTTTTCTAAAAAATGAGAAGTGCTATTTGTATGCTGCAAATCAGCTTCAAGCTATCTATAGAAGAGACAAATGCTATAGGCCACCAAGTGCTAACAGTCAGTATCTAAATAATATGTGTGAAATGCTTGATAGTGTATGTGATGTAAACAGAGAGGTCTACTTTCTTGGGGACCTGAATATTGACTGATTTTCATCAAGCTGTCCGCTCAAGAGGAAGCTTCTCACTGTAACCAGTGCCTGCAATCTGGTTCAGGTTATTAATCAACCTACCAGGGTGTTTACAAACACTACAGGAACAAGATCATCCACATGTGTTGATGACATTTTTACTAATACTGTAGAACTTTGTTCTAATGCTGTATCTGTACCCATTGGATGCAGTGATCATACTATTGTGGCTATATCCAGGAAAGCCAAAGTTCCAAAAGCTGGGCCTAAAATAGTGTAAAAGATTTTGCTGTGACTCTTATGTGGATGATATAAAAAATATTTGTTGGTCTGATGTGATTAATAAGGAGCATCCAGATGCTGCACTTGATGAATTTATGAAATTGCTTCTTCCAATTATTGATAAACATGTACCTGTTAAGAAATTGACTGTTAGAACTGTTAAGGCTCCATGGATTGATGAGGAATTAAAAAACTGTATGGTTGAAAGAGATGGGGCAAAAGGAGTGGCTAATACATTTGGCTGCACATCTGACTGGCTGACTTACTGCAAATTGAGAAATTATGTGACTAAACTCAACAACAACAAAACATATATTGTATTATGAAGCCAAGATCAGTGATATAAATGAAATTATGGGCAGAAAGACAAATTCAACTCCATCTTTTATCAAATCATCACAAAACCATTTGATATTGCCAATTATTTTAATGATTACTTCATTGGCAAAGTGGGCAAACTTAGGCAGGAAATGCCAACAACGAACAGTGAGCCATCGTATTCATGCATAAAAAAAACGAATAATGAAAGAAAAGCATTGCAAGTTTGAATTTTGTAAAATGTTCTCGGTTCTAACAGCAGACCTACAGTGGGGAAAAAAAGTATTTAGTCAGCCACCAATTGTGCAAGTTCTCCCACTTAAAAAGATGAGAGAGGCCTGTAATTTTCATCATAGGTACACGTCAACTATGACAGACAAAATGAGGAAAAAATTTCCAGAAAATCACATTGTATGATTTTTAATGAATTTATTTGCAAATAATGGTGGAAAATAAGTATTTGGTCAATAACAAAAGTTTCTCAATACTTTGTTATATACCCTTTGTTGGCAATGACACAGGTCAAACGTTTTCTGTAAGTCTTCACAAGGTTTTCACACACTGTTGCTGGTATTTTGGCCCATTCCTCCATGCAGATCTCCTCTAGAGCAGTGATGTTTTGGGGCTGTCGCTGGGCAACACGGACTTTCAACTCCCTCCAAAGATTTTCTATGGGGTTGAGATCTGGAGACTGGCTAGGCCACTCCGGGACCTTGAAATGCTTCTTACGAAGCCACTCCTTCGTTGCCCGGGCGGTGTGTTTGGGATCATTGTCATGCTGAAAGACCCAGCCACGTTTAATCTTCAATGCCCTTGCTGATGGAAGGAGGTTTTCACTCAAAATCTCACGATACATGGCCCCATTCATTCTTTCCTTTACACGGATCAGTCGTCCTGGTCCCTTTGCAGAAAAACAGCCCCAAAGCATGATGTTTCCACCCCCATGCTTCACAGTAGGTATGGTGTTCTTTGGATGCAACTCAGCATTCTTTGTCCTCCAAACACGACGAGTTGAGTTTTTACCAAAAAGTTATATTTTGGTTTCATCTGACCATATGAGATTCTCCCAATCCTCTTCTGGATCATCCAAATGCACTCTAGCAAACTTCAGACGGGCCTGGACATGTACTGGCTTAAGCAGGGGGACACGTCTGGATTTGAGTCCCTGGCGGCGTAGTGTGTTACTGATGGTAGGCTTTGTTACTTTGGTCCCAGCTCTCTGCAGGTCATTCACTAGGTCCCCCCGTGTGGTTCTGGGATTTTTGCTCACTGTTCTTGTGATCATTTTGACCCCACGGGGTGAGATCTTGCGTGGAGCCCCAGATCGAGGGAGATTATCAGTGGTCTTGTATGTCTTCCATTTCCTAATAATTGCTCCCACAGTTGATTTCTTCAAACCAAGCTGCTTACCTATTGCAGATTCAGTCTTCCCAGCCTGGTGCAGGTCTACAATTTTGTTTCTGGTGTCCTTTGACAGCTCTTTGGTCTTGGCCATAGTGGAGTTTGGAGTGTGACTGTTTGAGGTTGTGGACAGGTGTCTTTTATACTGATAACAAGTTCAAACAGGTGCCATTAATACAGGTAACGAGTGGAGGACAGAGGAGCCTCTTAAAGAAGAAGTTACAGGTCTGTGAGAGCCAGAAATCTTTCTTGTTTGTAGGTGACCAAATACCTATTTTCCACCATAATTTGCTAATAAATTCATTACAAATCCTACAGTGTGATTTTCGGGATTTTTTTTTCTCCATTTGTCTGTCATAGTTGACGTGTACCTATGATGAAAATTACAGGCCTCTCTCATCTTTTTAAGTGGGAGAACTTGCACAATTGGTGGCTGACTAAATACTTTTTGCCCCACTGTATAAGTTTGCTGCCAGCTCTTAGCAAACTGTTGGAAATAATTGTGTTTTACCAAATACAATGCTATTTCTCTGTAAACAAATTAACAACAGACTTTCAGAATGCTTATAGAGAAGGGCACTCAACATATACTGCACTGACACAAATGACTGATTGGTTGAAAGAAATTGATAAGAAGAAGATTGTGGGAGCTGTACTGTTTTTTTATTTTTTCAGTGCAGCCTTTGATATTATTTACCATAACCTGTTGTTGAAAAAACGTATGTGTTATGGCTTTTCAACCTCTGCCATATCATGGATTCAGAGCTATCTATCTAATAGAACTCAAATGGTTTTCTTTAATGGAAGCTTCTCTAATGTCAAACATGTAAAGTGTGGTTTACCGCAGGGCAGCTCTCTAGGCCCTCTACTCTTTTCTATTTTTACCAATGACCTGCTGCTTGCATTAAACAAAGCATGTGTGTCCATGTATGCTGATGATTCAACCATATACACAACAGCAACCACAGCTAATAAAGTCACTGAAACCCTTAACAAAGAGTTGTTGTCTGTTTTGGAATGGGTGGCTAGTAAACAAACAGGTCCTGAACATCTCTAAAACTAAGAGCATTGTATTGGGTACAAATCATTCCCTAAGTTCTAGACCTCAGCTGAATCTGGTAATGAATGGTGTGGCTGTTGAACAAGTTGAAGAGACTAAATTACTTGGCGTTACCTTAGATTGTAAACGGTCATGGTCAAAACATATAGATTCAATGGTTGTAAAGATGGGGAGAGGTCTGTCCGTAATAAAGAGATGCTCTGCTTTTTTGACACCACATTCCAAAAAGCAAGTTCTGCAACCTCTAGTTTAGTCTTATCTTGATTATTGTCCGGTCGAGTGCTGCAAGGAAAGACCTAGTTAAGCTGCAGCTGACCTGGTTTCAAAAAACAGATAAAGCAACACCTCACGGCACAACGCTGCTCCCCTATTTGACCTAGATAGTTTGTGTGTATGTATTGATATGTAGGCTACGTTTGCCTTTTTTTATTTTTTTATGTAGTTCTGTCTATTAATGTTCTGTATTATGTCATGTTTCATGTTTTGTGTGGACCCCAGGAAGAGTAGCTGCTGCTTTTGTAACAGCTAATGGAGATCCTAATAAAATACAAAAAATACCAAATGTTGCAAATGTGTATATTATGAAATAAATTAAACTAATCCATTCATCTGATATCGTCATATGGTTCTGTTGACAGATAGCTTAGAGGCCAAGCTGTCCAGGATTGACATTGCCAACACCCTGAGAGAGCAGGTCCAGGACCTGTTCAACAGGAAGTATGGGGAGGCACTTGGCATCAAATACCCAGTCCAGGTGCCTTACAAGAGGATCAAGAGCAACCCGGGCTCGGTGATCATCGAGGGCCTGCCCCCTGGCATCCCTTTCAGGAAACCCTGTACCTTTGGCTCGCAAAACCTGGAGAGGATCTTGGCGGTGGCTGACAAGATCTGCTTCACCATCACCAGGTGGGTAGTTTTCCTTCACCTTTTCATGGGGTTGTGAAAATAAGGCATACGGCAGGGCTACTCAACTACCGACCCTCGGGACAAAATACTGCTACTTTTCTTTTCTCCCTGGTAGTTGGTTTACTGATGTTAAGATTCCATCTTTGTTTGTCTCTTGCAGACCTTTCCAAGGACTCATCCCTAAACCAGGTAACACTATATTTATGGGATATTCAATTCATATTTCTGAATTTTCTATTAAAGAGCATGATTTGATAGGAGATATCTTGTTTCAGGCCCAACTTTGTTTTATATTACTAGTGTAGTAATAATATAAAAATTACATTAAATTTGTCTCCCTCTTAGCACCTCGTCGGATCACTTTATTGAAGAAGGCCTACGCCTCAATAAGTGGTGAGCATTGTAATTGTGTTGCCTGTTCATTTTGATGGTGTGTTAAGTTTTGTTACGTTCCCCAGCAAGAAAACCAAATATGTTGCTCAAACAGAAGGGGGAACTAACAACCAACAGCATCTGACCAACAACCAAAACAAAACAGGTGGGGTTTTAAGAGGGGTTCTGAAAGACACTCATGGGGGTGTCCACTAAAAGTTGACTAGCAACAACAACTGGAACTTGAAAGACACCCACCGTGAGCGCTAAAGGATTGTTTGTCTAGAAATCAAAACACGAAGAGCCAACTAAAGGTGTTAACCCTCCGCATCTATCAAGACAACTAGAGCTCTGGGGCAGCCACTCTTAAATAGCACCTGGGCCAGCACAGGTGAAACACCTTCCCACTAACCAGATGGCAACCAGCACAGGTGTAACACATACTGACCAACGATGTGACACCAATTGGTGCGCCCTATGTGCTAACGAGCTATACGTGCTGAAGTCCAAACCCAAAACATAAATGGAAAAACCAAAGCCTGTAACAGCTGTAAGAATACTTGGTTTTGAAACTGTCATGATTGCATCCATTAAATAGGAGCATGCAGATGCCCAGAGCAAGCAACAATAAAGTATACAGTGCACTTATCACTGCATACATACAGTGGGGGAAAAAAGTATTTAGTCAGCCACCAATTGTGCATGTTCTCCCACTTAAAAAGATGAGAGGCCTGTAATTTTCATCATAGGTACACGTCAACTATGACAGACAAATTGAGGGGAAAAAATCCAGGAAATCACATTGTAGGATTTTTAATGAATTTATTTGCAAATTATGGTGGAAAATAAGTATTTGGTCACCTACAAACTAGCAACATTTCTGGCTCTCACAGACCTGTAACTTCTTCTTTAAGAGGCTCATCTGTCCTCCACCTGTTACCTGTATTAATGGCACCTGTCTGAACTTGTTATCAGTATAAAAGACACCTGTCCACAACCTCAAACAGTCACACTCCAAACTCCACAATGGCCAAGACCAAAGAGCTGTCAAAGGACACCAGAAACAAAATTGTAGACCTGCACCAGGCTGGGAAGACTGAATCTGCAATAGGTAAGCAGCTTGGTTTGAAGAAATCAACTGTGGGAGCAATTATTAGGAAATGGAAGACATACAAGACCACTGATAATCTCCCTCGATCTGGGGCTCCACGCAAGATCTCACCCCGTGGGGTCAAAATGATCACAAGAACGGTGAGCAAAAATCCCAGAACCACACGGGGGGACCTAGTGAATGACCTGCAAAGAGCTGGGACCAAATAACACACTACGCAGTAACACACTACGCCGCCAGGGACTCAAATCCTGCAGTGCCAGACGTGTCCCCCTGCTTAAGCCAGTACATGTCCAGGCCCGTCTGAAGTTTGCTAGAGTGCATTTGGATGATCCAGAAGAGGATTGGGAGAATCTCATATGGTCAGATGAAACCAAAATATAACTTTTTGGTAAAAACTCAACTCGTCGTGTTTGGAGGACAAAGAATGCTGAGTTGCATCCAAAGAACACCATACCTACTGTGAAGCATGGGGGTGGAAACATCATGCTTTGGGGCTGTTTTTCTGCAAAGGGACCAGGACGACTGATCCGTGTAAAGGAAAGAATGAATGGGGCCATGTATCGTGAGATTTTGAGTGAAAACCTCCTTCCATCAGCAAGGGCATTGAAGATGAAACGTGGCTGGGTCTTCCAGCATGACAATGATCCCAAACACACCGCCTGGGCAACGAAGGAGTGGCTTCGTAAGAAGCATTTCAAGGTCCAGGAGTGGCCTAGCCAGTTTCCAGATCTCAACCCCATAGAAAATCTTTTGAGGGAGTTGAAAGTCCGTGTTGCCCAGCGACAGCCCCAAAACATCACTGCTCTAGAGGAGATCTGCATGGAGGAATGGGCCAAAATACCAGCAACAGTGTGTGAAAACCTTGTGAAGACTTACAGAAAACGTTTGACCTGTGTCATTGCCAACAAAGGGTATATAACAAAGTATTGAGAAACTTTTGTTATTGACCAAATACTTATTTTCCACCATAATTTGCAAATAAATTCATTAAAAATCCTACAATGTGATTTTCTGGAGAGAAAAAAATGCTCATTTTGTCTGTCATAGTTGACGTGTACCTATGATGAAAATTACAGGCCTCTCTCATCTTTTTAAGTGGGAGAACTTGTACAATTGGTGGCTGACTAAATACTTTTTTCCCCCACTGTATATTTATTTTATAAATATGTATATACGCATATATTGCATTTGGATTACTGATAGTGTTATTTGGGTTGTTAATTTGATTAGTTCTGACATTCTTGATTTTTTGTTTCTAATTTTTGATTATTTATTATTTGTGTACTTGACATTTACTGCACTGTTAGGCGCTAGTTACATAAGTATTCACACCCCTGAGTCAATAATCACCTTTGGCAGCGATTACAGCTGCGAGTCTTTATGAGTCAGTCGCTAAGCGCTTTCCACACCTAGATTGTGCAACATTTTTTTTTTTTATTCTTCAAGCTCAAATTGGTTGTTGATCATTGCTAGACAACCATTTTCAGGTCTTGCCATAGATTTTCAAGTAGATTTAAGTCAAAACTGTAAGTCGGCCACTCAGGAACATTCACTGTCTTCTTGGTAAGTAACTCCAGTGTAGATTTGGCCTTGTGTTTTAAGGTATTGTCCTGCTGAAAGGTGAATTCATCTCCCAGTGTCTGGTGGAAAGTAGACTGAACCAGGTTTTCCTCTAGGATTTTGCCTGTGCTTAGCTCCATTCCATTTTTTTTTTTATCCTGGAAAAACTCCCTAGTCCTTAACGATTACAAGCATACTCATAACATGATGCAGCCACCACTATGCTTGAAAATATGGAGAGTGGTACTCAGTAATGTGTTGTATTGGATTTGCCCTGAACATAACACTTTGTATTCAGGACAAAAAGTGAATTGCTTTGCCACATTATCTGCAGTATTACTTTAGTGCCTTCTTGCAAACAGGATGCATGTTTTTGAATATTTGTATTCTGTACAGGCTTCCTTCTTTTCACTCTGTAAATTAGGCAGTAGTGGAAAAAGTACCCAATTGTCATACTTGAGTAAAAGTAAAGATACCTTCATAGAAAATGACTCAAGTAAAAGTGAAAGTCACCCAGTAAAATACTACTTGAGTAAAAGTATTTGGTTTTTAATATACTTAAGTATTAAAAGTAAATGTAATTGCTAAAATATACTTAAGTATCAAAAGTAAAAGTATGAATAATTTAAAATTCCTTATATTAAGCAAACCAGATGGCACAATTGTCTTGTTTGTTAAATGTATGGATAGCCAGGGGCACACTCCAACACTCAGACATAATTTACAAATAAAGCATTTGTGTTTAGTGAGTCTGCCACATCAGAGGCAGTAGGGATGACCAGAGATGTTCTCTTGATAAGTGTGTGAATTGGACCATTTTCTGTCCTGCTAAGCATTTAAAATGTACCGAGTACTTTTGGGTGTCAGGGAAAATGTATGGAGTAAAAAGTACATTATTTTCTTTAGGAATGTAGTGAAGTAAAAGTAAAAGTTGTCAAAAAATATAAATAGTAAATTAAAGTACAGATACCCCCAAAAACTACTTAAGTAGTACTTTAAAGTATTTTTACTTAAGTACTTTACACCACTGACATTAAGTTAGTATTGTGGAGTAACTACAATGTTGTTGATCCATCCTCAGTTTTCTCCTATCACAGCCATTAAACTCTGTAACTGTTTTAAAGTCACCATTGGCCTCATGCTGAAATCCCTGAGCTGTTTCCTTCCTCTCCGGCAACTGAGTTAGGAAGGACGCCTGTATCTTCGTAGTGACTGGGTTTATTGATGCACCATCAGAAGTGTAATTAATAACTTCACCATGCTCAAAGGGATATTCAATGTCTGTTTTTTTTTTTTTTTTTTTTTTTTTTTTTTTTTTTTTACCCATCTACCAATAGGTGCCCTACTTTGCGAGGCATTGGAAAACCTCCCTGGTCTTTGTAGTTGAATCTGTGTTTGAAATTCACTGCTTGACCCAGGGACCTTACTGATAATTGTATGTGTGAGGTACAGAGATGAGGTAGTCATTGAAAAATCATGTTAAACACTATTTTTGAACACAGAGTGAGTCCATGCAACTTATTATGTGACTTGTTAAGCAAATGTTTACTCCTGAACTTATTTAGGCTTGCCATAACAAGGGGGTTGAATACTTATTGACTCAAGACATTTCAGCTATCAGTGGTGGAAAAAGTACCCAATTGTCATAGTTGAGTAAAAGTAAAGATACCTTAATAGAAAATGACTCAAGTAAAAGTGAAAATCACACAATAAAATATTACCTGAGTAAAAGTCTAAAAGTATTTGGTTTTAAATATACTTAAGTATCAAAAGTAAGTGTAATTGCTAAAATATACTTACGTATCAAAAGTAAAAGTACAAGTATAAATCATTTCATATTCCTTATATTAAGCAAATCAGACTGCATGATTTTCTTGTTATTTTAATTTACGGATAGCCAGGGGCACACTCCAACACTCAGACATCAAGCATCTGTGTTTACTGAGTCCGCCAGATCAGAGGCTGTAGGGATGACCAGGGATGTTCTCTTGATAAGTGCGTGAATTGGACCATTTTCTTGTCCTGCTAAGCATTCTAAATGTAATGAGTACTTTTGGGTGTAAGGGAAAATGTATGGAGTAAAAAGTACATTATCTTCTTTAGGAATGTAGTGGAGTAACAGGAGAAGTTGTCAAAAATATAAATAGTAAAATAAAGTACAGATACACAAAAAAACGACTTAAGTAGTACTTTAAGGTATTTTTACTTGAGTACTTTACACCACTGTCAGCTATACATTTTTAAGTAATTGGTTTAAAAAAATGAAAACATCATTCCACTTTGACATCATGGGGTATTGTGTGTAGGCCAATGCCCAAAAATCTCAATTTAATCAATTTTAAACTAGGCTGTAACACAACAAAATGTGGAAAAAGTCAAGGGGTGTAAATACTTTCTGAAGGCACTGTAAAATCTGCTAAACTGTCCCCACAAATTCTGTTTGACTCCTCTCCTTCTGAACCGACAGATGACGAGGAGGTCAACCGCATGGGGGAGAAAGTGATCCTCCGCGAGCAAGTGAAAGAACTCTTCAACCAGAAATATGGTCAGTGTATATCCTCCATTTGTACAGTTTGCTTTGTCTATATAAGCCTTAGTAAAAAAAAATAGACCTAAAGTATTAACAGCTAGTGATTTATTCCTAAAGGGGTAAATCCCAATTTACACATTTACATTTTAGTCATTTAGCAGACGCTCTTATCCAGAGCGACTTACAGTTAGTGAGTGCGTACATTTTCATACTGCCCCCCGTGGGAAACGAACCCACAACCCTGGCATTGCAAGCGCCATGCTCTACCAACTGAGCTACAGGGCACACATAAGTTAAATATTCACTTAGTCTCCCATTGACATCAATGCATAACTTAGTGAAAATTCTAACTTATTGGGAGTTAAGATCCGGCCCAAACTGACTGAATAGCTTCATGTTCAGGTGACGCTCTGGGCCTGGACCGCTCTGTCATAGTCCCATACAAGCTGATCCGTGCCAGTCCCGACTCTGTTGAAGTTAGTGGCCTTCCGGATGATATTCCCTTCCGAAATCCCAACACTTACGACATAATCCGCCTGGAAAAGATCCTTCAAGCCCGAGATGATATCACCATCAACATCAAGAGCCAGCTACAGTGAGTGTCTTTGTCATTGTAATAATTGTGTCAATCTGGAGTTTGTAGAAATATCCCAGATTGTGGATTAAAAGCCTAAAATGTGAAAGAAGGACATGGAAGAACTGTACGAGTTCAAATTCTAGTAGGGAGACTCACTCTTGGGCAAAAGCCAGGCTCCCTTCTCTGTCCATCTACAGAACTGAAATTCCTATTTTAATTAATTTTCTTTACTACAGGCCTTTTGCGGAAATATGCACCCAAACATGTAACACAGGTAAGGATTGTTCTACAGTAGACAATTTCTTTTTTTTTTAAAGTAATGCGGTCCATAAGGACACGTGCTTTAGAAGTACGTTCAAAACGGCTGTGTTGTTTTTGTGGGTTAAGAAGGGAAAGAGGTTTCTACCAATCGACGCAAGCGCAAAAGAGTCCTGGAGAGCAGCCGAGTGTCCTTACCCTCCGAGTCAGGGGTATCAACCAATCAGATTCCAGTGATGGTACGTGGTACTAATAACAAAGCTATTATATAACAGTTTGTTGTACAGTATTTTGTGGTTATTGTTGCCTGGCGGGTAGGAGCGTTGGGCCAGTAACCGAAAGGTTGCTGGATCGAATCCCCGACCTGACAAGGTAAAAATCTGTCGTTCTGCCCCTGAGCAAGGCAGTTAACCCACGGTTCCCCAGGCTCTGAAGACGTGGATGTCGATTAAGGCAGCCCTCCGCACCTCTCTGATTCATTAAATGCGGAAGACACATTTCAGTTGAATGCATTAAGTTGAACAACTGACTAGGTATCCCCCTATCCCTTTCATTATCAAAAATACATAATACTTGCTTCTGCAACATTATAACTGATCTCCCCTCCCTCATGCTCTCTCTAATTTATCCTCCTTTTGCTTTGTCTCTGTCTCCTTTTAGCAATGGCCCATGTACATGGTGGACTACAGTGGAGTGAATGGGCAAGTCCCTGGAAAGGTGAAATACTAGAAGAGAAGAAAACAGATACTCTGCTACAGGAAGAGGATATAATGAGAGGACTTTATCAAACCAATACTTATAATCGCATCGCCAAGTTTCAGCTTTGCCCGAGTGCTGTTGCTTAAAAACTTTACTGACTGATTGAAAATATAGGTTTGGATATGTGTTTTTAAATGGTGGCTTGGGTGGAAATGTGAGGAGGAACAATAGAATCTGTGCATAATTTGTTGCAAGATAAGTGCTTTCTTTGATTTTGTTTCCTTCAATGATTTATATACACTAGATGACTGACAGGGGGCGCTGTTTTGAAGCCATTGCGCCTCCATTTTACTACTCCCCCACCATTGTAAAAAAGATTTTGGAAGCGATATAAATGCATTTATGAATGTCTACATTCGTTTTTCCCATGTTTATTCTATTACAGACACCTTAATGCATACTTTTAAATTATATTATGTGAGCTAAACAAAATATAGAAAGACATTTTCCTTATAATTTTTTGAGAGAACAATTGTTACTGTCCCCACTACAACAACAAAATAAATACTTAAATACATGTAATTTTGTCCTTTAAACATTTTAATTGAAATACTGAATACCTATTAAGGACTGCTTCTTCTGAGGTGTGTACCAATATGGCCGATCGGTGGCTTCAAAGCCTCTCATTGGCCAATACATTGCATCGGAAATCTAGTGTTTATATACAGTTGCTCTCCCCCACAGTCCTGATTGTGCTTTCTTGATACACCTTTTTCAAAATGCTCTACAAAAGAAAAGTCATTCTAACCAACTGGGGTTATGTTATGGCACTAAGTTTATGGAACTTACAATCATTGAAGTATTCACCATTTTAGGCTATTTTTGTCTGATCCAACATAGACTTTTGTTATGGGGTGTAACTACAGCACAAATGTCTTGGATAAATCTGGCTTTACAACATTCAGATATTTGTTTGTATGATTTATTTATTTATTTATTTTGAAGATTAAAAAACAAACATCATGTGCAGGGATGTAAATTAAAATGTTCAGTAATCTAAGTACTGAATCAAATGTCTCTACAATACAATACTAACTACTACTGTATGTAACTCAAAGTATATCAACTGAAATATGTTCGCCTTCAGGTGTGCATACCGGTATTCTCCGTGATAGGAATAACCCAAGGTGATAGCACTATATCTAAGACAAATTTTCATATTTTGTAAAACTCGTCACAGCTTTTCTTTAGCTGAGTACTTGTACGTGGAGTTGAGATTTTCTCAGCTAGGCTTTTATGTTTGTAGCACATCTGTGCTAAGTAAAATGTATCTTTAAGTCAACATGAATGTAATGTGTGTTAAAGAAAGAATGGTCTGTGTGATCCTGTAACAGCTGTCTCTGGATTCACCAGTATTTATATGCTGTACCTTAATGCCATTTAGGCCTTTGAAATAAAATGTGTTGCCTTGCACTTTTTATTGGACTGCAGTGACTTTGTGTGTTATGAATGCAAGTTTTAAAAAATATATTCTAAAGAAAGTTTAAACCTACTACTTTCGTATTATTGTGTCCTTCATAATGTCATGGTATCATAGAGAAATGAAATTATGTAATGATTGAGGTTTGAAAGGACCATTTTGACAACTGAGAGTTATTAAGACCACTCCAGTGCAGTCAAAAACATAATTTGTTTTATATATATTTCCACACTGAGGTTGAAATAATATTGTGAAATTATGATAATGCCCTTTTAGTGTTAAGAGCTGTTTGAAAAGACCACATGAAATTTCAGCCTGTTTTGGTTGGATGGAGTTTTGGCCTGTGTAGTGACATCACCAGGCAGTTAATTAGCTAATAGACCAATAAGAAAGAGAGTTCGAAACCTTTCTGCCACTCTGACCACTCCCAGACAGTCCTAGCTAAATTATTGCTTGAGAAATGTATCTTTTTGATCAATTTAATTGAAAACAATAACAGTAAGTTACTTAATCGTTACCCAGAAATGAATTGATATTGAGATAAAAACGGCTGCATTGGACCTTTAAAAATACGATGATGTTCACATGTCGTCATTTGCTAAGCAACGATTGTTCAGACAGCTTGGTGTATCGCTGGTTTAGTAGCTAGCCAGTTTGAGTTGGTTGGAATGCAATGCATGATTAGCAAACTAGCATAGCTCAATATATTTCCTCATCTAATGATTAATTGCTTCGCAAGGTTTGCCAAAATGCTTTTAAACAGTTTGCTTGAATGTTTGCAGCCTGATCTCGAATCAGTCGTCTTGTAAAAATGGGGCATTTTAATAATCCAAGCTAGCCGTGCTGGCTAGTTTAGCTAACTTTAGCTACAGCTTGTAAACTGAAGATGTTTTGATAGCGTAACGTTAGCTACTTAACTAGGGTTGATAGCTACAATTTATTGATAGGGTAGCTGGCAAGGTGTCCTGTAGTTTGGCGAAGTGTTAACGTGTTTTGTCCATCTGACTTAACATAGCTACTTAACCTAGCTTGCTACGTTAGCTGAATTAGCTAGCATCAGCTTTTGCTATCGTTTCGTTTACTGAATTTGACGTATCGCTACTAGCTGGAAGATATGGCCACTGCCTCTAGCTCCTGTGTGGGGATAAATGGGTCTAGAAATGGACCCTCTATCTCTACACCGACCTTGGGAGCACCTGGACAATCTCAGCCTATGGTCGTTGTATGGGAATGGCAGGATGATCTTGGCTCCTGGCGACCATACAGCGGCCAGGTGAGCGGCTACATCGAACAATACTTCTCCTCTCCGCGGGGACACAGAGGTGGGGGTCCTGGCACCACCAGCATCAGCCTCGGACAATCAGACCCCAGCTTGTCGCCTTATCTCATAGACATACCAAGCTTGAACCAGTTCCGCCAAGATACAGGTAAGGGAATTAAGCCACTGGCACTGCACCGTGTGTGATGTAGCTAGCTAGCTATTAAAACTCAAATGAAGCTTTCGGGCTTTGTTGTGCCCTAGCTAGCGCATCGTTAGCTAGCTAGCTGTTGTGGTCAGCTGTTGGCCTCCGTGAACGAAAGATAATCGCATTACTTCTCTTGCTAACATCTATAGGGAACAGCCTATTTTCCTGCAATGTCAACGTTTTCTTTGGGTCACTAGTTGGCTGGCTAGCTAACGTTACCTGGCTAACTGGAATGTGATCCAGACATGATATTAGGCAGTCATACAGCCAAGTCTCTTGGTTGGAAAGTGGGGATTATTGGAGAAGTCCAAATGTCCTTTGACACCTGCAGCCTGTGATACAAACGTGGCGAGGAAAAGGGAGAAAAACAGCAGGAAATCTTATCTCAATAGCACAGGATGTGTGGTATGTTTAGCTGACACTATGAACTACACCACTAGCTACTACTATAATAAACTGTTTGCCATTCACTGATGTGTGATGTCTATTGCATGATTTTCTGTGCAAAACACATTTGCCTCATGAGTACAGTATGAATTCACTGTGTTCTTCTCTTTCCAGGGAAAACGCGGTCTGTACGCCGCCAATTGTTTGCCCAGTCCTCAGGCTTGGGTAGCGGAGTATATTGGGAATGGGCGAATGACGAAGGAGGATGGACTCCATACGAGACTCGCACTTCTATCCTACTAGAACACAGCTACCTGGCACGGCAGGCCACGGCGGACATGGCCTCACACGGCTATAACTACATAGTGGACCTCACAGCGCTGGCCCAGGTCAACAAGGCCACAGGCTTCAGGCGGCAGGTCCGACGGCAGGGTAACTTCCCCTACCCGCTAGCGTCTGGCGCCTCCGTCATCCACTCGGGCCCGGCCTGCTCCTGCCACCAGTGTCTGAGCCACAGTTGCACTGGCCCCATGCCCAGCCGCTCACGCCACTCCTTCTCCTCTGGCCAGCTGAGCCTGCCCAGCTTCCAGGGCCCCAGCAGGGCGGCTGGAGCTCACCCCACCTCGGTGTACTCGCCCTACCCCAGGAGGCCTCTTTCTGTGGGGGGCATGGCGTGGGGTGGCCCTTGGCCCCCGTCAACCTCCGCTAGTCAGTTCCCTGGAACTCCACTGTCCTACCCCACCAGTGCCAATGGCTTAAGGTAGGCTGGTTTTGTTTGAAAAGTAATTGTCGGCTCATTTAGCAGCCTATCCATTTATACTACATTCTTGAGTAACTCTGTGTTGAGTAAGGCATAGCCTACTGGTAGGGGCTCTGAATTACATTAAGGCTGCGTTTACACAGGCAGACCAATTCTGATATTTTGCCCAATTATTACTGATCTGATTGGTCAAAAGACCAATTAGTGGCAAAGATCAGAATTGGACTGTCTGTGTAAACGCAGACTTAGACCAAATTGTTGTTTTGAACAGATTTATGTATGTTGTATCATTTTATGTTGAGCTAATTGACACATTGGTATAGTTTGGGGTTACAATTTGTCATAGAGTCCCAAATCTGAACACTTCAAAAACACTGCCTGAAAACGGCAGGATAAGATATTTTATTGATGTCCACTAAAGAGGAAGTGGGGGTTACGCGGAATTGTTTTGCAGTGGATAGGAAACCAGATTTGGGACCCAAAGCTCTGCTCGGTCAAAAAGCCAGCTGATGTTGAAAGGGTAACATTACATCAACTGGTGCATCTCACACACTTCCTCTCATTGTTGTGTCACCATGTGGTTCCTGGTAGTAGTAGGCCTAGGCTGTCACTCCTTGTGACGAACAAAGCACGGGGAAGAAAGTGTGCATACTAGTATGTCATTCTTGTGACAGTTAAATTGCATTTTTGTTTTAAAGAATACCTTAGTGGCACTATTTTTGAAAGCTTCGTCACAGCCCTGATGCCACACAGCGCTAAAATAACTTGAGTGAGAAAAAGATGGCAGCATGGAGCAATGTTGAACATACTGTAACATTCACATTGTACTCCAAAGCCTTATCAACTTGGAGAAAAAGCACACCGAAAAGTATCTGACACACTGGATGTGCATAACTGCGGTAGGCCCTCTCTGCGTGTGTTCTGGAATACTGCCAGCAGAGCTTGTCTCAGCTTTTGCTCCACTCTCTTGGGCTCTGCTGAACAGAGGCGTCAGCAGAACATGACAGTAAAGGAAACCAGGAGGAAAGATACTGCACAGTGAACCGCAGGAATGCCTGATTTTAGGGATCATAAGCCAGGTTAAACTCTGAACCAAGGCAGGCCTGTTTTAGCAAGGCCATGCTAGCTCCCCATCCATCATTTATCAAGAGTAAGGCCATTTGTACTCCCTCTGTCTTGCTGTTTAGTTAGTTTGAGATGGCAGCAAAACAACACGTTTTAGAATCGTGATTGATTTACTCATGTAAACTTGCAGCTTCAGGGCACAGAACTGTTCAAAATAGGAGATATAGTGGAAAGATTCTGCAGTATCTAGGGTCTCCAACAGGTCAATCGCAAGCTACCTCTAGCTCGCAGCCCACATATGAGTAGCATGCCGCATACTGTCATAAACAAATCTCACAAGTATCAGACACCGCAAGTTCCCAGTTACTTTCTAATCAATGCAACTTTTCCACAACTCTTTTGGCCACTATTGGCTTAAAAAGCCAAACCTAACACAATATCTGCCAATACATTTCCTGTAATATTGCCCGTCTGTCTGTGTTGTGCGCACATTTGTCTATCACTCTGTGTGTAGCCAGTTGATGTGATAACCGTCTTGTGGGTTGACAGATGCTTTTTATTATTTATTATTTTCCCCAAAACCTTCTCAATTAATTGTTAACTGCAAAGTAGGCTTGCCTGGCAGAAGTATATCATTTGTATCTCTTATTTGTTATTTGCACACTTTGCCATGAAATGAGCAGCAACAGTACAGAACCATCGCTAGACCGGCACATTAGACGGCACATTCCTCACTCATTAGATGCACAATTGAAAGGGGAATTGCACTCAATCTAAATTTGTTAGTTTTCTACCACCTAAAAAATGGTCTTCTGATGTGATTTAAGCATCGACATGGACTCAGAACATCCAATTTAGTTTTTTCTCTATGAACAATTGTAATTCTGAGTGAAAAACTTAAAACCACGGAAAAATGAAACTGGGAAAATATTAAACAGAATTTGGGGCTGATTTTTATATGGTCCCCCTTAGTGTGTTTTCTATCAATATACCTGGTAAAATAATGGTTAAACAACTAAGGACCCAGCGACGAGTTGCAGGGGAGAGGAAGAATGTGTGACTATTTGAGATATATATATATATATATATTTTTTTTTAAAGTAGCTCTCCTGCTAGAAAAGGTTGGAGACCCCTGATCTAGAGTGATTTCAAACTTTCAGAGAACCGACCACATCAGTTTCTCAATTGATTGCTTCTGCAATGGTGTGTATGGATTCATTGTCTGTTTTCCTGTTTCCTCTGCTGCAGTGTCCCCGCCATCCCTCTGCAACGGAATGGATCCACCAGTGTGAGCTCAGCCCTTGCAGGTAAAGCAGTCCCAAACAGTTGATCCAAACATCCACCATGGTGGTACTACCTGGATTCTTTTCAGTCACCATCAATGTGAATTCTAGCTGTTTGGATAAAGCATTGTTGTTCTTGGTGGTTATAAAATCAATGTTAGTAAGCTTACTTTGTTTCAGCCAAATGTGTGGCCTATGGCAAGCTAAAGTCTTAACAAAGATGGCTGATACACCAGAAATGGTCTACACATTTGACAGCACTGTTCAGCAACCGTGTGGTTTAGTTAGCTTATCTCATAGACCTGACAGATTTCAGAGGCACACCTTTTGTTGATCAGTCATTAAAGCAGAGAACTCCTTTGATTTCATGGCAATGACCATAGCTCCTGTCGGTGGTGGGAAAGTCATTTGTGACTCTCTGGACAGCTAGCCTAGCACCTCAGTTTATCGCTGTACATAATCTCCACAGACCAGGCCCTGTTTTGCTCTGGTCGTTTGCCCAGCCCATGATGGCGTTTATTTGCCAAGGTAGTCTCAGGGGTTTGGGGGCTTAGTGAAAAGGGGCTAGTTCGCTTTAATTTAAATGTATTTTCTCCCCAATTTCAATCTTGTCTCATCGCTGCAACTCCCCAACGGTCTTGGGAGGCGAAGGACGAGTCATGCGTCCCCCGAAACATGACCCGCCAAACCGCGCTTCTTAACACCTGCCCGCTTTACCCGGAAGCCAGCCGCACCAATGTGTTGGAGGAAACACCGTTCGCCTGACGACGAGGTCAGCCTGCAGGCGCCCGGCCTGCCACTAGGAGTCGCTAGGGCGCGATGAGCCACGTAAAGCTCCCCTAACCCGAACGACGATGGGCCAATTGTGCGCCGTCCTATGGGACTCCCGATCACAGCCGGTTGTGATGCAGCCCAGGATCGAACCAGGGTCTGTAGTGGCACCTCTAGCACTGTGATGCAGTGCCTTAGACTGCTGCGCCTCTAGCACTGCAATGCAGTGCCTTAGATAACATTGGATTCAGAAAGTCTATCTGTACCAAGCAGGATGGGGCTGGAAGCCTACCAAACTTCCCAATACAATGCCCTCTTGTCCCTGAGTAGGTCCCCCCGAGTCACGCACTGCTTTATCTACCATGTCTCATCAGTTTGGTTTCTCCCCCACCCCCTCTGCATGTCTCCCCGGGGCCTCCCACTCCAGGCATGGCCTCCATTTTGATGTCAGCAGTGGGACTCGGCTTGCACTTCACGAGTGCCCCCCTCCTGCATCCCTCCTCCGCTCCTCCTCCCCCCAGGAGGCCCAGTTCACTTTATATATTTGTAGCCTAGCGAATTTTCATTACACCTAGGGTGTTGTCATTTCATCCAAACCGTTTTTTATTTATTTGTTAGCTGGTTATTTAGGAACGTCCAGAATCTCTTAGCTAGCAGTTTAGCTTTTTATGCTAAAACTTTACAAAAAAGTGGACTATCCCATTGAGCCAGCAGATAGGCTAGCAATGGAGACTGTCAGATTGATAATATCTGTGTGTGTTTGACCAATACCGACAGCAATTCAGCTTCTTTTGTTAGTGACTGTTCAAGGGGTCGTGTTGAGCAGTGAGGAACATATTTGTTGGGCTTTAGCTGAAATGTTTTGTGGAGGGCTAATGTAAAGTGAATTTGACATTTTCTGAAGATTTTCCTTTGACATATTTGTGCTGATATTCCTTTTTTAATTTTTACATATCATTAAATAACTGTGTAAAATATTAATATATACAATACCATGTAGTATTGAGGCAGAACCTAACAATAGGGCTTTTTAAAAGGAAATCAATTAGAGCAGTGCGGTTATTGCAGTACATATCAGCCCACATGTATTACTGCCAAATATTAGTCCAACACATTGTCTTTACAAACCCTAAATCCAGATGACTTCTTCTTATTCCTGAATCCAATTGTATCTATCTGTACCAAGCAGGATGGGGCTGGAAGCCTACCAAACTTCCCAATACAATGCCCTCTTGTCCCTGAGTAGGTCCCCCCCCCAGTCACGCACTGCTTTATCCACCATGTCTCATCTGTTTGGTTTCTCCCCCCCCGACCCCACCCCCTCTGCATGTCTCCCCGGGGCCTCCCACTCCAGGCATGGCCTCCATTTTGATGTCAGCAGTGGGACTCGGCGTGCGCTTCACGAGTGCCCCCCTCCCACATCCCTCTTCCGCTCCTCCTCCCCCCAGCAGCACCAGCAGGCCCGCAGGCTCCAAAACTCACAGCAGCAGCTCGGTTAGGAGGGCAAAGAGGCAGCACAGGACAGGTAGCTACGCCACCTTCCCCCACCAACTCCCCATTGGCCTGCATCCAGCTCTGTGCTTCGTCACATCCAATGCTTTCCATTGTTGTCGTCCCAAATCCCAAAGTTGGAATACTTGGGCTTGTTATGTATGTTCAATTAAAAAGAAAATGTCCCTTGTGTTTAAAAACGAATGCCTGCCTTGTGAAACTTTGGTGACATCTGAGGCAGTAATTAATATTCTCTCTCAGTTTTAGGCTCTCACTATTCAATACACAATACTTAGAATCAATGGGAGGGATTGGGGCAACTGAAATCTACTGGATTTGGTTTGACTTTACTTAAAGGTGATTTGGCAAAAAACATGGACATTGCACGGTGTCCCTATCACTCCCATTGACTTTCAGCTAGCTGTGTCTAAAATTGGCAGAGTTTTTTGTAGTGGCTGTTTAAAGAAACCCGAACCATCGATTACATTTTCTCCTGGCTCATACACTACTTTCAGGGTAAGGAACCATCTATCAATAAGTTGTACAAATATCAAACTTATTCTTGAAAATCAAATACTGTGTCCTTCAAAATGTCCTCAAACTGAATGGCATCAAAGGCAGTGTTTAGATTTTCTGCAGGTTTGTATAGCTTCCTTTTATTTTTCCTCTTACGTGTCCTCGCTCTTTTATCGTATTCCATCGCTCGCTTGTCTCTACGAATAATTTGCCAATCTGTGACTCATTCATATCATATCCACAAATCAGTGTTGTGATGTTGCTTGGCAGTCGATACAGTATTCATTAGCTAACAAACATTGGTGTGTTTCTTTCAGAACTAGGCCCTAATCTTGCTTTTTGTGATCCAGTTTGGTTACATTTACAAAGGTTGCAGCTCAAAACAGAACCCCTGAACTCAACACTGATTTGCTGACCTACTCTGCAGCTGTTCCAGAACAGACTGATACTCACAAATCTAACAATGAAGTTGCATCCCAAATGGCACCCTATTCCCCATAGTGCACTACTTTTGACCAGGGCCCATAGTGCACTACTTTTGAATAGAGCCCTATGTAGTGAATAGGGTGGCATTTGGGACACCACAGCCCCTAACGAAGGAAGAGGGTGCTATTGGCACATTGGAAGATAAGTGTCAATCTCTAACCCTCTTCTCTCCATTCATCCATAACTGTCATGCATTAATACTGTGTGCCTCAATCTGTCGACTCATGTTACATCTTCGAGCAGTGCTTTTGCGTGGTACAGATTTGCCAACGAAGCCGGCCTAAAGTTTGAGCTGCAGTGAAGTGTGTAGGCTCCATCTGCAGGATGAGTCGGTCATTTCTGCAGAAATATAAAATATAACAAAAAGTGTAGTGTCAGTTAAAATGTTTTAGGATGAACTATGCTATAAAATCTAGCCAATAATTTTTGTGAACATAATGTGTACAATAGCAAACTGCAAAACAACTAGGCTACCACCATTTCATCCACTGAAATTGATTAAAAAAGCAATACTAGAGACTACATTTTCCATACAATTGATCTTATTATAATCCCTCCTAACTGTTTATAGTGTGTCCGGTCTGTATATTGAGGGCCTGAGTGTGGTTTTAGTCTGGTGGGTTTCTCTCCAACTCTGTTCATTGTCTGCTGTCCCCTCAGCCCCAGCCCAGAAACCAGAGGATGTCATTCACCGCTACATGGAGGAAGTGGCCTCTGCTCAAGACGAGGTATGCATTTCAATGTCAAAGACCCCCTCCTCCCTCGCTTCTTTCTATTGGGGTAGGGTGAAGTTGCCCCTAGACGCTGATCTTCGGTCAGTTTTGCATTTTCCATAATGGTTACTGTTAGGTTTCCCTTAGAGCTGTACCTAGGAAAACTTCTCCCCGCCCTCTTTTTACTTAACAATCACTGAAGAAGGGCTCTTGCAGAACAATCAGTCATGTTTCCCCATTCTGATACTTTGGAAATCACTGTAAACATGAAATAAACTATACCTGCTTTTGTTTGCATATACAGTGAGGGGGAAAAAGTATTTGATCCCCTGCTGATTTTGTACATTTGCCCACTGACAAAGACATGATCATTCTATAATTTTAATGGTAGGTTTATTTGAACAGTGAGAGACAGAATAAATAAAAAAACCCAGAAAAACGCATGTCAGAAATGTTATAAATTCATTTTCATTTTAATGAGGGAAATAAGTATTTGACCCCTCTGCAAAACATGACTTAGTACTTGGTGGCAAAACCCTTGTTGGCAATCAGAGGTCAGACGTTTCTTGTAGTTGGCCACCAGGTTTGCACACATCTCAGGAGGGATTTTGTCCCACTCCTCTTTGCAGATCTTCTCCAAGGCATTAAGGTTTTGAGGCTGACGCTTGGCAACTCGAACCTTCAGCTCCCTCCACGGATTTTCTATGGGATTAAGGTCTGGAGACTGGCTAGGCCACTCCAGGACCTTAATGTGCTTATTCTTGAGCCACTCCTTTGTTGCCTTGGCTGTGTGTTTTGGGTCGTTGTCATGCTGGAATACCCATCCACGACCCATTTTCAATGCCCTGGCTGAGGGAAGGAGGTTCTCACCCAAGGTTTGACGGTTCATGGCCCCGTCCATCGTCCCTTTTGATGTGGTGAAGTTGTCCTGTCCCCTTAGCAGAAATACACCCCAAAAGCATAATGTTTCCACCTCCATGTTTGACGGTGGGGATGGTGTTCTTGGGGTCATAGGCAGCATTCCTCCTCCAACAAACACGGCGAGTTGAGTTGATACCAAAGACCTCGATTTTGGTCTCATCTGACCACAACACTTTCACCCAGTTCTCCTTTGAATCATTCAGATGTTCACTGGCAAACTTCAGACGGCCCTGTATATGTGCTTTCTTGAGCAGGGGGACCTTGCGGGCGCTGCAGGATTTCAGTCCTTCACGGCGTAGTGTGTTACCAATTGTTTTCTTGGTGACTATGGTCCCAGCTGCCTTGAGATCATTGACAAGATCCTCCCATGTAGTTCTGGGGATATTCCTCACCGTTCTCATGATCATTGCAACTCCACGAGGTGAGATCTTGCATGGAGCCCCAGGCCGAAGGAGATTGACAGTTATTTTGTGTTTCTTCCATTTGCGAATAATCGCACCAACTGTTGTCACCTTCTCACCAAGCTGCTTGGCGATGGTCTTGTAGCCCATTCCAGCCTTGTGTAGGTGTACAATCTTGTCCCTGACATCCTTGGAGAGCTCTTTGGTCTTGGCCATGGTGGAGAGTTGGAATCTGATTGATTGCTTCTGTGGACAGGTGTCTTTTATACAGGTAACAAGCTGAGATTAGGAGCACTCCCTTTAAGAGTGTGCTCCTAATCTCAGCTCGTTACCTGTATAAAAGACACCTGGAAGCCAGAAATCTTTCTGATTGAGAGGGGTTCAAATACTTATTTCCCTCATTTAAAATGCAAATCAATTTATAACATTTTTGACATGCGTTTTTCTGGATTTTGTTGTTATTCTGTCTCTCACTGTTCAAATAAACCTACCATTACAATTATAGACTGATCATTTCTTTGTCAGTGGGCAAACGTACAAAATCAGCCGGGGATCAAATACTTTTTCCCTCACTGTAGTTTCTCAGACATTTGAAAACATTTCATGAAGATGGTACATTCATATGACACAGGTGATTTTTATACAAAACCACTCTTAATTTTATTTGTATTGAAGAAACATTTTATTTTGCAAAGAAGGTGCAATTTGAAAGAAATATGATTGCTCTAAAATGAAGACCTATTTCTAAAGCAGTTTGAGCAAGCCAACTGCAGTTTTGTATACAAATATAAACAATACTCCATCCATATCCCCAAGTCATCCCAACATCAATTTATAGAGTCATGATATAATATCATATACAGATCCTGTAATTCTTATCTTGTAATTACATGTATAACATATCCTGGGGTGAAAGTAGGTATGGCCCAGTACAGATTCCCGGCAAGTGAAATAGTGGGGGTACGCAGTACCGGAAAATGATCACAATAATAACTAAGATGCCAGGAAAAATGTAGGCTATTACACCCTCATTTTTTTATTACCACATGAAAAATGTGTGAATGGACTCCAATGCGGTGTGGTTCGAAGAGAACACAGACATTTTGCCAAGGCAGGCTACAAGTGAAGGCCTAATGACAATCGCTGAATGTCATTAGGCCTACACTTTTTGATGTTTTGTGGCGGGTGCACAGTGCAATGTTTGGATGCTTGAATTATTTGAGTGGACGAACGTGCGCAGGTAGCCTACAGGAGTCTTTTGAAGTGATTTTTTGTTTTTGACGAACTGATGACATGACTGGTTGTGTTTATCCCACATTAAACTCGACCCTTAATCTTTACTTTTAGGACCATTAAAAAAATGTCAAGTACACGTAGGTCTGTAACGGGAATAAATTAAATATACTTTCACCCCTGAATATATATATATATATCCTCCCTGTGGTTTCAGGACTGCATCATCTGTATGGACCGGCTGTCGTGTCCGTCGGATTATGCTGTGGTGTCCGAGGGAGCCAAGTCCATCCCGCCCGGCGCCGTGGGCAAGTTCACCAAGTGTGGACACACCTTGCACATGCTCTGCATGCTGGCCATGTACAACAATGGAACCAAGGTGGGCGCCACAGAGATCCTAATAAAATGTAATTCAATGGGTGGCCTGGACAACATGAGCCCACATATTGTCCTACATAGAGACGTTAATGTAAAATAAGCCTTATAATAAGGACTATAAAGGCTTGTACATGCTATTTATTTGACCAGATAAGTTGATTGAGAACACATTCTCATTTAAACAAACAAAAAAAGACCTGGGGAATAGTTACAGTATTGAAGCATTATACCTGCAGGCTAAAAGTTAAGTGTTACCCACAACATATCATAATAAACAATATCACATATGGTGAAATCAGGCTAACATTTTAGTTTATGGTCACGTGGCTGTTGCTTGCTATATAAAGCAGGCATCGAGGCATTCAGTTACTGTTCGGTTGAACGTTAGAATGGGCAAAACATGTGACCTAAGCAACTCTGAGCATGGTATGATCGTCAGGGGTGCCGGTTCCAGTATCTCAAAAGTCCGGCCTCCTGGGCTTTTCACGCATGACAGTGTCTAGGGTTTACAGAGAATGGTGAGACAAACAAAAAACATCCAGTCAGCAGCAGTCCTGTGGGTGGAAACGGCTCATTAATGAGAGGTCAAAGGAGAATGGCAAGAATCGTGCAAGCTAACAGGCAGGCCACAAACAGGCAAATAACTGCGCAGTATAACAGTGGTGTGCAGAACGGCATCTCGGAACACACAACTCGTTGGTCCTTGTCACGGATGGGCGATTACAGCAGACCACACCGGGTTCCACTCCTATCAGCTAAAAACAAGAAGCAGCTCCAGTGGGCATGTGATCACCAACACTGGACAATTGAGGAGTGGAAAAACATAGCCTGTACCGATTTAATCCTGGTTCTTGTTGCTTTATGCAGGATTTGGCATAAGCAGCAAGAGTCCATGGCGGTGGTGTAATGGTATGAGGAATGTTTTCCTGGCTCACATTAGGTCCCTTGTTACCAATTGTGAAACGTTTGAACGCCATATCTAGTAGAATCTATGCCCCGACGAATTCCGGCTGTTCTGGAGGCAATGGTGGGTCCGACCCGGTACTAGTACTTAATAAACGGTCAATTTGTCAACTTGATTCTTTATCATTTGCGTGTAAACAGTCACTAACGTGGGCCTTTTGGTTATTTTTAATGAAAGTCTGCGGTTCTGACTCTGTTCCAGGATGGCAGCCTCCAGTGCCCCTCATGCAAGACGATCTACGGCGAGAAGACTGGGACCCAGCCCAAGGGCAAGATGGAGATCTATAGTATCGCCCAGTCCCTCCCCGGCCACCCAGACTGTGGAACTATCCAGATAATTTACAGCATACCCCCTGGGATACAGGTAGACTCACTCACTCATTAACACACGGAGTCTGGGGTGGGCTTATCTTACCCCTGCCAGGGCAGGTGTGGGTGCAGGCTTTTGCCCCAGCGAAGCAGTAACAAAAACAAGGCTTACCACTCTGGCGGTTCTTTCTGACTGAAACCATACCTTTCAGATTCACAAGGGCCAAAAGATACAGACAAGGGATTGGACCTGTGCCTTCTCCTCATGTCAGTATTCTCATCTGTCTCAAAATACAACACTGCCCCTTTAAGACAAAAAAAAGCTCTTTACCTGACTCCCTTTTCAAAGATGTCTAGAAATGTACACGTTTTGTGCTCTTGTAGGAAGCAATCACTCCCCTATTGCTGACTATAAATTATCTAAAACTGGGCTAATGACTCACTAACTAGCAAAGGATATGAACAAAATGTGCACACGTGGTACATACAGCTCTCTCTTTGATCTCAAAACAAGCTCATCTACTCACGACCACAGCTGTTTAAATAGTTTTTATTTATTTAACCAGGTAAGCCAGTTGAGAACAAGTTCTCATTTACAACTGCGACCTGGCCAAGATAAAGCAAAGCAGTGCGATTAAAAACAACAGAGTTACATATGGGGTAAAACAAAACATGAAGTCAAAAATAGAACAGAAAATATATATACGGTGTGTTCAAATGTAGCAAATTATGGAGGTAAGGCAATAAATAGGCCATAGTGCAAAATAATTACAATTAGTATTAACACTGGAATGCTAGATGTGCAAGAGATGATGTGCGAATAGAGATACTGGGGTGCAAATGAGCAAAATAAATAACAATATGGGGATGAGGTAGTTGAGTGGGCTAATTTCAGAAGGGCTGTGTACAGGTGCAGTGATCGGTAAGCTGCTCTGACAACTGATGCTTAAAGTGAGTGAGGTAGATCAGTCTCCAGCTTCAGAGATTTTTGCAGTTCGTTCCAGTCATTGGCAGCAGAGAACTGGAAGGAATGGCGGCCAAAGGAGGTGTTTGCTTTGGGGATGACCAGTGAGATATACCTGCTGGAGCGCAGACTACGGGTGGGTGTTGCTATGGTGACCAATGAGCTAAGATAAGGCGGGGACTTGCCTAGCAGTGATTTATAGATGGCCTGGAGCCAGTGGGTTTGGCGACGAATATGTAGTGAGGACCAGCCAACAAGAGCGTACAGGTCACAGTGGTGGGTAGTATATGGGGCTTTGGTCACAAAACGGATGGCACTGTGATAGACTACATCCAATTTGCTGAGTAGAGTGTTGGAGGCTATTTTGTAAATGACATCGCCGAAGTCAAGGATCGGTAGGATAGTCAGTTGTAAACACAGTCCATTTCAAAGTAAATGGCACATCCATATTTGGCAATGGTCTATTTGCATATAGGCCTGCGGCAGCTCTGATTGGTTATGCCGTACTGGTTTTTGTAGAGTATGGGCTGAGTCGTGGGCAATATAATCCTACTCCGATGCGTTCTGCCTACAACAATCTCTTGCATAGTTCGTTTTGTTTCGGTATGTTGCGTTGAAAATGGCTATTGCGTTGCTTCGATCACAATTGCCACAGTAAAGGGAAACCTTGATAGTGTTAACTAACAGGGAAAACTCTAGAACATTGAACTTCACTCAATCTTGTGCTTCTCTGTTCTACCCGGGGCTACTGCACGCACTTGCGCAGCTTAGATGAAACATTGACTGTAAATCGCTCTGGATAAATGACTAAATATTATTTCTCTCTCCAGGGTCCAGAGCACCCTAACGCGGGGCAGCCATACACCTGTAGAGGCTTCCCTCGCTTCTGCTTCCTCCCAGACAACGACAAGGGCAGAAAGGTAAGCACGTAGTTCATCCCTGTTTCAGTCCACTTTCTTCCGAACATGGCCCCGGACTCCGCTCTGCTTACGCAATCCTCGTATGTGCTCAAAACAGTCTAGGAAGTCTGATTTAAGCAGTTTCAGTCAAAACACACTGAGTGTGAGATTTAAGTGACACGTCTTCCTTGAATGTAATGTGCCAATTCCTCATTACCAATTTGATTTGCCACTCGTTGCGACCAAATCTGCTACTCAAAATTGTTCTGTTGGCTTAATTTATTAAATGCTTATTTACTGTACAGTATGAGGTAAGTGTTTATGGTGGGTATATTGATAATGCATCACAATATATTTGCAAAGGAAATCCATTTCTATATCTGATCTCCTCCCTGTCAATGTGAAATCAAATGCACATACCTCTACCATAACATATAGACAATGCAGACTAACTTAAAGGAAAGTTATTTATTTTATAACTGAATGTCTTAGTTCTACGTTCACAATTATTTTTTCAATAATATATCTACACTTCATATAAATTCCTGTCTGTATTCTGTCTCTATATTGTCTTATGCTAGCAGCACCATTTGACCAAGTCATTCTAGGGATGTGTAAATAAATATACAATAAAGGTGATTCTGAAGTAGGTCTAGCTAGCACCAATAAGCTTCAGCCAGTGTGCGACCTTGGCAAAGTTAGTTTGCTGTTGGATATCTATGGGGATAGTTGGGGATCGTCAAATTACAATATTTTCTAGTTGCACATATTTTAGTTCTCATTAAATGTGTAAGAATTTACAATCAATAGGGGTATTTTTTAGATGTATTTTTAATTATCCATAAATTAATGTAAATAAATTGTTATTCTTAATCTAAACAGTACTCATATTTCAGATGACATGTTAAGGTTTCAAATGACTCCAAGACAGGCTTTGTAGCGTCTACGTAATTGTAGTGTCTTAAATAAGGCCAGGGTAATGCCAAAATGTCCCAATTCAATCAATTTCTCAATCATCATTTTGGATACAGACTTCAAAGGTATGCCAACCATCCTTTCCCCAAAGGACCTTTCTATGGATTTAATTTCAGGAAGATCTAAAACATCATAAATATGCAGAGCATGTCATCTCGAATTTCATTTTTTATTTCATGTCAGGTACTTGAGCTGCTGAAGGTAGCGTGGACACGGCGCCTCATCTTCACAGTGGGCACGTCTAGCACCACGGGCGAGCCTGACACAGTGGTGTGGAACGAGATCCACCACAAGACGGAGATGATGTCCAACGTGTCAGGCCACGGCTACCCGGACCCCAACTATCTGGACAATGTGCTGTCCGAGCTGTCCTCTCAGGGGGTGACCGCCGACTGCCTGGTCAAACAGGAGGGCCCCAGCCAGGGAGGAGCGTCAAACTCTGGACTGTGAAACTGACCCTGAATCAGTTTCCTCGTAATGTCACTACTTCAACATAGCAAACATATTCACATTCCCACTTGGATGTGGTATTTTTTGTTGTTGGTCTTATTAAGTACTCAATGCGAAGCAGATAGTATGTCAAAGTGCGGTGTGCAGAATACTGCACATACTGATAATGTGGGGTTTGTCGTGGACTTTTTTTGCTGTAGTAGCGCTCCACCAGCTCTTGGTTTAGTCACCTGTTCCCTATATAGTTCACTACTTTTGACCAGGGCCCATAGGGTTCTGGTCAAAAGTACTGCACTATGTAGGGAATAGGGTGCCATTTTAGACAGAACCCTTACCTTGAAAAAAGCATTGTGCTTTTCTTTTGGAGCAGCCTGATGTGTCCACACCTCTTTTGACATGCTCCATGAAAAGTGGCAGCTCTGGCGGGGAACAGATGTCGGGAGCACTAGTTTTGATAGTGCATTTAATTAACACTTTTAGTAATTACCAGGTTAATGTCTGTGGTTGATTTTTGTTTTTCAAATTGGTAAATTATGCAAATACTTTAGTGATATTTCTGTTGAAAAGCAATGTAGGTCCTACTTAGGCAACTCACTGTATACACAGACATTAAATACTATACAAAATGGTAGCAAAGTGAGTACCTGCTTAATTGTGTTATAATGGGGGAGGGGGGGTCTGTTTAATTGGTCATTTTCATATTTGTCAGTAATGAAAGCACTGTAAAGGAACGTAAATATGTCCGTAAATGCCAGTTCATTAAGAAGCATAACCCGGAAGAGAAACTTCTGTTTGCCTTTGTTTCTGCATTTATAATTTAACCATTTGTAATCATATTTTTTGTTTCACCTAATTTGATGGGAAACAAGTGGAGTTGTCACGCTTAATGCAGACTAAGCTGGGCCTGTATTCAAAGTAGCAGTGCTGATATAGATCAGGTTCTCCCTGCCTATAATCTTATTCAATTTGTAAGTTGCTCTGGATAAGAGCGTCTGCTAAATGACTTAAATGTAATGATCTAAGGCAAAACCTATCTTGGATCAGCCCTCCAACTCTGAGATGCTTTATGAATACATTTACGTCATTTAGCAGACCCTGATGCTTTGCTACACCCACTTAGAGGTATGGAGATATCCTCAAACTTTGGAAGCATTTGTGCATTTTTTGGAAAGCTTACATGGACTGTTGACCTGAGCCGAATACTAAGTATGTGGTTTGAGGAGTTAGCCAGTTAACATTGGTCAACTCGGGATAACCGGTACCACAAAAGTGGCTCATCTTTGAGCCAGGTTAATTTCTATGGCAATGAATCCTTAAGAACTAACCAGCTCTGGGGCAGTCTAACTTGAGGCTAACTATGTGTTCGCATTGCCCTAAAAAAGGGAACCAGCCTGTGGAATTCAAGCGAACCAAACTTTTACCACCTCTCGATGGTGTGTTTGATTCTCTTCGGGTGCTCTTTTGAGGGGTCTGAGATCCTTTGAGTGTTCACACTGCACAAATTAAGCGAACTGCACGATTTCACAAAAATTGGTTGAAAGGGGGAGACCAAGTGTGAAAAGACCCTTATAAAACCTTGAGTAGATCTAGCTTCAATCGTAGTATAGGCCTACCACTCAGCTTTGCCCTAGAAGTTTAAAAACAGAAGAATAAATGACATTACCCCAGGTCAATTCACTTTTACTCTGACAATCAGGTCAAAATAGCATAGCCATCAAGACCAGTCCTGATTTTTCTTTTTTGGCATGCTTAGGCTATATTAACCTAGATCGTCCAATTCCACTGCTCTTCTGTCCAACATCCAGTTAGGTGACATTTTACTCAGTATTCAGGTGTATGCAAGCATATTGAAAATGTTCTCCGCAATAAAGAACTGATAAATGAATCCCATCTTACTCATTTGTTTGTAGTGTTGATTAGCATAATTTCATTAAAGAAAATGAAATGATCTTTGGTTCTTATTCTTTAGCAATCGGTTGAAAATAATTAATTTTACTTTGAGGTGTTAGGAAAGGAGTTCGTGCCAAGGCTACATTACAAATCCCATCCCTAGAGTCCAGCAGCAACTGGGTCAGGTTCTGGTAAGTGATGATTGCGCACAGGTGTGAGTGATAGGCAAGCAATCAGTGAGCTTGCTTGCCTTTTCATGTTAAACGCATACATTCAGACAGGTTATGGAAAAGGTAATCAGACATGGCGAGTAGACTTATATTCGTAAAATGACTAGTATGTTTATGCCGCGTTCAAAACAACAGTGAACGAGCTCCGACTGGGAAAATTTGATTTGAACGGTATTCCAACTCGGGCCTCTTTCTAGAGCTCCGACCTGAAGATCACTGACATTATTTGACCTCGTATTTTTCCGAGTTCTCAGTTGTTTTGAACGCGACATTAGTAACAGGACACACGATGACCATGACACAACCCTTGGTATTGTGGTCCTGACTAACTGCATATGTCACTATTGCGGCAGTTATTGTGTTTCGAACATGCAAACTATCTTGAATAGACCTATGTGAATCTTGTTTTCTCTGAATTGAAACTGTAGTATGTGATGTGGTCCTACTTCTTCTGTAGAGGGCAGCATTGTATCAAAGACTGAAATATACCAGCAATGAGATGCATTCCCTCCCTTACATCAAAGATGCAACATGCTGCTCAGATTATCATGGATACCATTCCATGTATCGTTGTTGCCGCTACACGTTTGCAAATATAAATAGACCGTTGTTGAATACCCGTATCATCAGAATGTCTTCCCTTTGGCTGAATATGAGTCATTGAAAAAAATGATTAGAGAATCTGGATGGGCTTCTTTTCACTTCAAATGAATCATGAACTATGCTGTTTCTATGGTGTTTTTCAATCTTTCAGTCTTTTCTGTCACCTCCATTCTTGTTTGTTGCGCCAATTAATTGACGCTGCCACCCTATCATCATAGCCCCACACTTTCGAGATAAACATTTATACTAGGGTTGTAAAATTCCTTGAACTTTAAATAAATTCCCTGGTTTTCCAGAAATCCTGGTTGGAGGTTTCCGGGAATCCGAGTTCTTAGTTGGTTTGAACGCGGCAATCCTCCAACCGAATTTATAGAAAATTCCTGGAATTTTGAAACCCTAATTAATACTAATCGGTTTTCTTTCCACGGCCGTGTTATGCATGAGGAGTAAGTGGTTATAAAGAGACGCAGCAGCACAAATCACGCTGGCAGCGGCATATGAGGTTCTCTACTTCAGCATTAGCAATTCAAATCCTTGCCTTGGCTGAGGGAAGGACACTCCATTACAACTGTACTGACCCAAGTCCGGACTGCAAATGACTATATTTAGGCTATTTCACTGGCTGGGCTGCCATGTGTGAACCTCCTCATTGATAAATGGATAGTGAAAGTTCTATTTGAAAGACAGTTGTTTGTATTTGAAACAGTTGCAGTGAATATTGGACGTTGTAAAGGAGCGTACCGTCACTAAATGTTGGTAGTCATACAAAAGATGGCCTCAATCTTCGTTAAGATGTCAGCAACTCCAGTTATGTTTAAGGACAATTATATTCACCGGGGGTTCTAAATGTGTGTGTATGATTAGTAATTAAAATACAATATCAGGATATAGCAATGAACAATATTACAGTGAAGTAACATAATAAACTGCTATAACAGTAAATAAATCGCATTGCCACTGACAGATATAAATGCGCAAATGCTTTACATAGGAAACAGTAACTGGAAAGCTCCACAAGGGGGCAGGGCAGAGCTATACAATGAACACGCCAGATGGCTACACAGGCCAAAGGGCCATCATGGCAACTTCAGAAGAGGCAGTCTTACCCAGTACAAGCTAGCAAGCTAGCAATTCTCCGTAGTCACTAGCATACAGATTATAGCTAGAGAACTAGTTGGGGACTGTACATAAGCACATGAACGGAAAAGGATACCATAAAGGATATGAAATTGGTACCTTGCGTGTCCACAGTTATTATTAAGCAATAAGGCCTGAGGGGGTGTGGTATATGGCCAATATACCAAGGCAAGGGTTGTTCTTGGGCACAACGCAACGTGGAGTGCCTAGATACAGCCCTTAGCCGTGGTATATTGGCTATATACCACAAACCTCCGAGGTGCCTTATTGTTATTATGTAAACAGGTTACCAACGTAATTAGAACTCTGTCGTAGCCGGCCGCGACCGGGAGACCCATGGGGCGGCGCATAATTGGCCCTGCGTCGTCCAGGGTAGGGGAGGGAATGGCCGGCAGGGATGTAGCTCAGTTGGTAGAGCATGGCGTTTGCAACGCCAGGGTTGTGGGTTCAATTCCCACGGGGGGCCAGTATGAAAAATAAAATAATGTAATGTAACTGTAAGTCGCTCTGGATAAGTGCGTCTGCTAAACGACGTAAAATGTAAATGTAAAAGTAACTTTGTGTCATACCTGTGGTATACGGTCTGATATACCATGACTTTCAGCCAATCAGCATTCACGACTCAAACGACCCGGTTTATAATAAAGAACACAGCCTACATATTCTCCATACTGTACATGTACCAGTTGGTTGGCATGAGGCCACCAGCAAAAATACCATAAAGTATTGCTAAAGTAGAAACAACATAACACAAAATACAACAAGGAAATATGCATTATGATGAAGTACTTACTGTTGCATGAACGCACATGTGTACAAAGTTATCGGTAAGGAAACAACCAAAGCAATGTGGGCACCAGGGGGAAATGCGCTGCTGCACTGAACAAGTTCGGGCAGGTTCTGACTGGAGAATATGCAAATGGCCGCCAGAAACAGGTGAGTGAAGTATAAACCAGAATGGCAGGGAATATTGTATAGCTGCCCCCAAATACGTATTTGGAATTTAACTTAAAGTCCCTGCAGAATTCTGGGGGGCTGTACATGGTTAACTCAACCAACGCAAGAGCTGGTCAGGTATAAGTAAGGGCTGTGATAAACAGTTCCTCTGTGTGGGGAGGACTTGTTCCCAAACTTGGCTGC